TTTTCTTCCTCAGAGACTCCTATTATCCATAAGTTGAGGTTTGGTTGTCTTTCTTTTCTCCCATTCCTTTTTACCTCTTCATTTTCCTCTTCCTTTTTTTACTTTAAAAAATTTCTCCCTTTTTACATTCTATTTCTCTTGAGGTACTGACTTTTATAGGTTTGTTTTTTGTTTCTTCTAGTTTAGTCTTTATTCATGAAATTATTATTATTTTTTTTCAGATTCTTTTCTGAATTCTTTTACTTCAAGTTAGAATTAGAAAAACTTAGAAATATGTTTAACTCAATTTGAAACAGGACGTAGCAGTCTTGCTTGTTTTCTTAGGCACATTTTTCTGGAGTGCTTTCATTGGTTGTAGTGATATTAATTCTGCTTCTAATTCTTTTTCTCTTATAATAACTTCATATGGGATTTGACATTTATTTTTCTGTTGGTCATTTTTATGTGAAACTCGTTTTCTTCGACTTTTAGAAGCAGTGTGGTTCAGAATGGCTTTTCTAACTTCAAAGAAAATTTTTTTTCTGTGTCATTATGGTGGCTTCTTTCCTCAGTTTTGTTCCCTTCCCCTAATCTGGCCCTTTTCTTTCCTTCCTGTCTGTGTTGTTCAGTTTTAGTTTCACTCGCAGCAGTTCCAGTTGAAGGGAGCCCTTGCTGATTAGTTTCAATAGTTTACAATGGTACACTAAAAAACCCTGTTGCCATCGAGTCGATGGCACAGAGTTGAACTGCTCCATAGGGTTTCCAAGGAGAGGCTGGTAGGTTCGAACTGCCAACCTTTTAGTTGGCAGCCATAGCTCGTAACCACTATGCCACTAGTAACCACTATGCCTCCTCCTGTTTAAACCTTTCTGCATCCCTTGCACTCAGCCCGCCATTGGAGTGATCAAAACTCTGCAGTTCCAACTGCTTTTCTCAAACTGGCCCACCGTACTGTCCAGTGAATTAGCTTTTGACTACTTGAGATTTTCTTTTGACACCCTTGTATTTGCTTCTGCCTTCTGTGGCACAGACAGACACCGGGCAGGTCTTATATCTGTTGATGGTTTGCCTTCATCTCTTTGTTTTTTGAGGTTTGTGAGGGATACTTTGTACCTAGTTTTGTTGTCAGTTATTGTCCATGTGTTTTTGGTTTTGCTGAAAAAAATTGCAGGAGTTTAGAGACCTCTCATTTACCCTTAACCAGATTTGTATGATTTTTAACATTGTGTAACATTTGCTCTGTCATATTCTTTTTTTTTGTATTTATGTGTTTGTCTACACATTTACACACAAACATATACACATACATTTTTTATCGTTCTGAACCATTTGAGAGTAAGTTACATATATTCTACCTTTTACCCTTTACTAGTTAAGTGTGTATTTCCTAAGAACAAGGATATTCATGTATATAGCTACAGCTCACCTCTCAAATTTAGTAAATTTAATATTACTACAGTGTTCTCTACAGTTCATATTCCAGTCTTGTCAATTAGTCCAGTAATGTTAGTTTCTCCAGTAATGTACTTCACAGCATGCTTCCTCCTTCCAATATAGAATCATCACATATTACGTTTAGCTGACATGTTTCTTTAGTCTCCTTTAATCTGGAAGTTTTTCAGCTTTTGTCTTCTATGATAGTGGCAGTTTTGAAGAAATACAGGCCAGTTATTTTATAGAGTGTTCTTCAATTTGGGTTGTTTGATACTTGCTGATGATTAGAGTCAGGTTATAGATTTCCTTTTGGAATACTACGTAAGTCATGTTGAGTACCATGTTTAGAGGCACATGATGTTCATCTGTCTCCCATTGGTGATGTTGATTTTGATCTATCAAGGTTTT